GACCTGCGCCAAGGTCTTGCAAGGGAAAACATCTTCTGACGCGCAACAGCGATGGTTGCGCGACAACCGTCAGTATGCTCCTTGGCGTTACGAGGCTGCCAACATGTTCAAGCAGCCGAACAATAAGCTGGTGCTGGCACCAGCAGAAGTCAAGGAACAGCTACACCATCTGCCTCAAGGGTGGACCTCGAGTTTGCCAGGAAATGCGCGTCACAAGGCCTTAGCGAATGGGTGGCACCTTGGAGCGGCGAGGTTGTTCTTCGTCTTGGGCATCTTCGCTGCGACGCCACCAACTGCGCGAGCAAAGGAGCTGAACCCTTTATAGGGGGAACAGCAATTGATGCGATGGCAAGGCTATGGGAGTCAAAACCGCTGCTGAACGGGCCAGGTGTGCCAGTGTTCGATGATGCAATGGACCTTTCTGCCATTCTGGAGCCGGAGGAACACTGGGTTGCCTCGCGGAGTGTGCTGCATCCTAATCAGGCCTGTCCGCAGCTCGAGCCTGGCTTGCAACAATGGCTACCTCTCTGGTTGCATTGGAGGCGTCGCCTCCCAAAGATGAGAAGCGCAGTTGCGGACGAGGTTGCGCAGCTGGTCGACGACCTCGATGACAGCGTCCAGCAGTGGTACTTCAGCTTGAAGCCGCATGTGCAGAAAGCCTACTTTGCCCCGGTGGACACATGTTCACTTAAGTTGCCGGTCATCCAGCTCTATGTTTGGCTGGCAGGATATGGGCCTCTTCGATGAGTTGACTGAGGGCTTCCCGCTTCTAGGCCGTCTTCGACAGGGCTTGGGGTGGCGACTTCGCAAGGACTCCCACTACAGCGAGCCACTTCCTCTTGCCGACTTCGTGCGTGAGAACTTCTACTTTGTGAAGCGGAAGCTTGAGCGGCAGCGTGTCGATCCCGCTTGGGAAGTCATGGCCGCCGAGATTGCCTCCGATGTCCAGCGAGGGCGCATGGAAGGGCCCTTTCAGCAGGCTCACTGAGCTGTGTAGGCCCACGCCCAATTCCCTACTGCAGAAAACTTCCCGGTGCTCAAGAGGGAGAGGGTGATAACAGGCGACTAACATTACAGACGCCCTAAGCCCTACTATAACCCTAAAATATCCCCTACATGACCCTTATACTAGGGAGTATGGCTCATCTGTTTGCTCAGGTGATGGTGGTGGTGCTTACAGTGGTGACTTACACCTTGGCACCGGCCTGGAAGAAGCCTGCCCTGCCCTCAAAGCAGATTTGAGGGAGCTTTGAATTCTGTTTCCTGATGTGTGGGGCGGGAAGGAGTCTTAGTCTTAGAAGGGAGTCCATGTGGATTGAGCAAGCAGCGGAAGTGAGGCGAGAGGAAGGCGTAGACCGTCCACATGCGGGCTGCATGCCTGCGTCATAGCGATTTGTCTGGCACACCTAGGCACCGTGACAATGAAGGCCTGCCAACGTGCAGAGCCTCAGGATTGCTGGGAACCCGGATGGTGTTGCCTTGTGTGATTGGCAGGGAATCCTGTTTTGCCTCATGGAGATCCTACACCTGAGCAACCTAGGCTTTGATCACGCAGTGAGCCGTCTCAAGCCAGAGGGAGCCGGCCGGATTGGCAAAAAGGAATGCCCTGCTGATTCTTGCAGATTGTGGTAGTGGCCTGCAAGGATGCAAGCCTGAACTTCATCTAGGCCTTGGGCTTGTAAACTGCCGCCTTTTGGCTCATACCCGGTAGAAGTCACGGATGTCTTGCCGTAGAAGCTCCAAGCGCGGATGGGGTATGCTCCCTAATCCGCGATGGATAGAGGTATCGATGTGAACTTGAAGTCAGCCCTCACCGTGGCCAACCCAGAGGATGACGACGTCTCCAGGGAGGTCTACTTGGGTGTGGTAAAAAGCTACAATGACCGCCGTGGCTTTGGATTTCTGGCTTGTACAGAAACGGCTGATCGCTTCGGCCGCGATGTCTACATGCCAAAGGCCTTTCGGTGGCCATGCATTTGGGAATCTTTTCCCTAGGTCTCTCTTTAGGGATGTGAAAGTTTCTGATCGTGCAAGCGGCGTTGTAGACGTGGTGCCGGCATTTGTGTGAAGATATGACAGTATGCTGCCAGATGTACGGCCCCTGCTTCGAGGCCGAAGCCACAATGGCCGCGTTACTTGCGGCTGGTGTAGATAGAGAAGCGGGCATCAGCATGGTGATGAACGGGTGGCTTGCCTAAAAGTAAGCTACCGCCGAGAGGAGTCTGACAATACGTCAAACCCGTGCTGACTGCAGACCCTCTAGCCAGGCACAACAATGAACACCTGCTTGAAATGCTCGGAATACCGTTTCATCCACACGAACATCCCATAGATTGAGTTCAGCAAACCTCGGACCAAATAGTAATTAGTAAAGATGACAGCAGGGGCACAGCTTGGCCTTGAGGCCCCTTAACCCAGGTTTTGTGGCGCAGCGGCAACAGCCGCCGCCGTAGCAGCCGCGCCGCGCGGACCCGAGGCCGCGAAAGCCGCAGCAGCGGCAGCGGCACAGCTGGAGAAGGTCCAGCAAACGTATAGCCTGCACAAAGCAGTGATAGCAAGTACTTAGTTAGGCAGTGGAATCTAGGTATGGCATCAAATAAGAGACCAGCACCAGCATGATGCTGAAGGTTCTGAGGGGAGTGGGACTTGCTGCCTTTCTGACTTTCTGGCATGGGGATGTTGATGCCAAAGTTGGGTCAGAATCCGATGATTTGCCCCTCAACCCTAAACCCTTTGCCATCCAGAATCTAGATTCCCATCCCAGGGTTGTATCCCAACTTATCCCAAGATTGCATCCCCAGCCGCAATTCTCCGGTGTGAGCCCGCGGACGTTTGGCTTTACAAGTCTTTCACAAAGCTCTAGTCAGCAGGTAGGGAATATACGAACAGCGGCCTTTAAAGTAGTCCCCCCGACTATTCCCCGCATATTCCGTACAGCCCATTCCTTCCAACACACTAATGTAGACCCATGATTAATAAACCCCTCTTTCGAAGGACCTTAATATTAGGATCCCCGTTATAATCCCTATCAAGGGGAGGGGGTTTATTAATCATCGGTCTACATTAGACAACTCCCGAATCCCAAGACACCCGCAACCTCCCCGAGAGGAAGGCGAGAAGTCCACCGCGCCCCGTTTGGCGGAGGAGGACGTGGTGTTCTTCCGTGTGCGGCTGAGCGTGGAGGGCTATCCACAGGCAGGTCCCTCTGGACCTGAAGATTTGTTGTACCTTTGGGGGTCACTATGGGTGGACGATTTGGGTATGGTTCAACACGAAGATCTGGCAATGTGAAGGGCAAGATACAGGAAAGTACGCCCAAAAGCCTTCATCTAGGAACCTCAGATGGGTGCCACCATTTTGCCACAGCTTTTCACCAGGTTCTAGGAGAGTCTCATTCGGCAAGGGATTGGCATGTAGGCCGCACATATTTGTCCTGTCTAGCGGATTGCAAACTATCACTATAGTAAAACTGCTGTTGCTGTCACTAAAGTAAAGCTGCTGTAACTGCATTTACTATACTGTTACCATTGCTACTATTAAATCCGTATTTGTGTTGTGAAGGCTGTCTGCGTCCAGCGCCTGCGCAAGCTTACCGGGAGCGTGCTCCTTGCACCTTCCCACACAAAAGGATCGATCGTCAGCGATGAGGCAGCTTTGGTGAATCAGCGCTATCTATTGCATACGGAATGGCACATCAAGTGTCAGTTGTGCGACAACTGGGCATGCTTGTGTATCATACGCTGAGACGGACAGTTTCAATACATGCATGCTGGAGTCCGTCTCCTGATAGGCTGTGGCAGTCTGTGGGCGCAAAGAGGCCATGGCTTCAGTCTGCTCTGTACAACAGATCAGGGGTGGTCATAAGTAAGCAGGTAGGTTTGCAGCTCCACTTGACAAGGTCGTGTTTGATACCGAAGCCTGTGGACAGCTGCGGTTGATTCCTGGCGATGTCGTGACATTCTGCATCCCAGAGGCGCGCCTTAGTGGTTGAATCATGTGCATGCCGCTTTCAACATACAGGGGTGTAGCTGGTATAGTTGGGTATACAGGGAGTAGCTGGGGGTATGTAGAGGTATGTGGTATATTGAGATATATGTACACGTAGCTTCACCTTTTCCAGGCTGAAGAGAAGCTCGGCGCTGTCGCGAAACCCGCACCATTGCCGGCCCCAGCAGCCAAGATGATTTCCCTATGCAGCACGAGCCGTGCAAGTGGCACTGTCTTGGGTTGTTTCACCCTGGACTTGCCTAGAACCTTGCCAGACAATGTGAATGCTCCGCTGCGAGCAAACCTGAAGCTTCCCTGTCACGCCTTCGGAGACAAACTCGTTCTGGCGCGCCTGACAGATGATTTAGATGATGCAGAGCTTATGCGGTTCTTCTCCAAGCAAGGTGCCACAGGAGCCATTGTGGCGCATGCCCGCGCCTGCAGTTTTGCTTCGGTGTCCTTTGCCAGCATTGCAGATGTGGCTCGATTCCTGGGTCGCATTGCCCATGCTTTCGCAGATGATCGGGGCACACTTGTTGCCAGACTACTTCCCTTGGATCCCAAGCTTGATGCCATTGCAACGCTTCCTGCGCTACCGGCACCACAGCTCTCGGCCAAGGACAGCAACGGCGATGACCTTGAATCGGGTGCACTGCTTGTGCTCTGGTCCCCGCTGGTCTTGGCTGTGGCTTACTCTGTGGAGCTCCGGCCCGCAGGTACCGATGGACCATGGGCCTCGGTTGACGTTGGCTCTAAGATGGGCTCAAGTAGCCATCGCTTTGACTCGTCCACTTCCTCTTGCAAGGTGACGAGTCTACAGCTGACCACTCGGTATGAGGCCCGAGTTTCCTACTTCACCGACTGCGGCACGACCTCAGAGGCCTCTGAGGCATCCGAGCCATGCACGCCATCCCAAGGCTCTGATGCAAAGCCAAAGACGGTGACAGCAACAAGCCCTCCACCTACACATGCTCGACCAGGGGCACCTGGGGCTCCAGAGTATGTGGCAACACACAACACACACCCAGCCCACTACCCGCCCCCAAGCCTCAGTACACTGCCTCCACCAGCACCAGTGAACCCGACCTCAACTTGGTCAGGCCCCTTGTTTAAGGAGTTTAAGGGGTGCGGGTAACTCTGTCCAGTCCCAGACTTGATCTGAGATCAGGTTGGAGCACCAGCACGACAGAAGCCGCTGCCTATCCGCCGCCTCTGCCGCTGCCGCAGACAGTGCCTCCGCCGGGGCCAGATCCCTTTGCTGCAGGCAGGAGCCTTGAAGGTTGGAATTTCAACCGCAGAACATGACGTCTTGATTTGTGGTTTTGGAGGCTACCCACCGGCTCCAGCGGCTGCTGCGCCACCACCACCCTGGAGGTCTCCAGCCGGTCTGGTGGTCCCACCACCAGCTGCGCCGGAACTGCAGACCTGCGACGACCAGGGCTTTGCGCTGAATGTCGTGCACTTGCCTCAGACATGTGGCGACAGATTTTATGGACATTTGCATATATTTTGCACTGCATTTGTGCTAGGTGGCCTTCCGTGCTGCAAGCAGTGTCCTACGTGGTGGAGATTCGTGCACCCTGGAGAGTCATTTTATCCTCCGCAATTGTGTTGGCACAAACTCAGATTGCGCAGCGATTTACAGACAGCCCAGTTGGGCCCAGCATAATTTTTGTGTTTGTAATTCGGAGCACGTGGCAAATGGCCATTAATTAGCTTCCCTTGTGACGCATGCCTCTATTGTGAGCTGTTCTGTGACCTAAACTCTCAGATTATTACTAAGGCGTCGGATTGCTCAAGCTTCGAGCGCTTTGTGCGCCCTGCTCCGGAGGCCGAGTCTTGCTTTGAGGGCGGGATATAAGTAATCGCTTCCTGATATTAATAAACCCCCCCTAATAAT